ATCCTTAATTCCCAGGTGGATTTAAAACCCAGGTCAAACCCAAGTCAAGTTTTAGATTCTGGTTCGTAGGTGTAAATGGTGGAGATGAACGAGCCGGCGAGAAAGAGAAGAGACAGAGGAACAACGAATACATTGAACTTCTCTTTTTCGTTCTTTACTTAATTTTTTTCCTTTTAACTTTTTTTTAAAATTTTTTTTATTTAATATACTTCATTAATATCATTAATAATGTTTTTTTTAGCACGGTAATAAACTATATAATAATAGTAAATAATTTTTTTAATCCCTTCCATCTATCTCTCATTTTAAACTTGATATCTATAATGTAGTATTAATCATGTTATTATTGAAGTAATGAAGTGTGCACTAGCAGCCTATATGGGCTAGCAAAATGTAATAAAAATTTTGACTTACACAAAAATTTAAGTTGTTGTAAAAACAGTTATGATATTTTTTCTTTACTAACGATCTGCTGATCCGAATGAAAGGAGTTTAGTTTTCTTTAATCAAAATTTTGAATTCGAGTTCTGTGAATGAAAAAATAGACGTTGGGGGAGTTTTCTCCTAATGAGGTCTGATGTGACTCAATTCTGAATTAGTCAAAATTAAATATGATTATCGAATATTGAGAAGTTAATACAAAAAAAAATATTTTTCCTTTACTCCTAAAATTTTCATGGTAAAAAAAAAAGGGGGGTAATTGAGTGTAAAACATGCCATGCAACCCTCATAGCTCCACAACAAGAAAAAATCTTCCATCTCAGCGCCAAATCTGCTAGGGGATGTCAGTCGTCACAAAAAGGGGTTATTTGCCACCATTTAAAGAGTTTAAAGGTTTAAAAGCCCCGTTTAGTACAATAGTTGATTTGCCACCATTCAAAAGAGTAAAGGAGTTTATTTGCCTTTTTCTGCCTTTGTAAGTTTACATTTAATTACACTAAAATATTATTTAAATTATTATTTTTATAACTTTAATTGTAGCCCTTATATATCTAAATTGTTTTTTCGGGCGCATATATTCTCAGCCCTTCTGTCCCTGCATGTAATTGGAAGGGGCTATGGTACTTGCTAGATTGCATACACCTAGCACGCATTTAGCCCATACACACCCGCACTTAGGATGCGCCTAGCCCACACACACCCACACCTAGAACGTGCAGTTGGAAACCATTGGTGTCTATACCATATCACACCACTACCCCTTGCGTGTGAGGCCACGCATGCCTAACTTGTGCAACAGATCTGGGTGAAGGTGTCCACTTAGGC